ACCACTGAGCCACCAGGGAAGCCCTACACATCATTGTTAATCAGCTATACTCCAATATAAAAAAGGGTCTTTTTAATTCTAATTTTAAAAATAATATATTCCAAGAGTCCTCAAAATGTCCAAATTACAACAAGGCGTGGCAATTCTGGACAAAATAATAGAAACTGCTGCCATAGTAATACAGTAATACATGAAGCAGTAGAGGCAACTCAAGTGAGAGGCAGAGGGTGGATGCCAGCATCTTTGAGGTTAAATTCCAAAGTAAAAGTGACCTTTATGAATTGCAGAAGTGATCAGAAAAAAAGAGAGAAGAAACCACCACACACACACAGAAATTCAAAATGGCAAATTTAAATAAAACATCTGGGGAATGGGGAAAATTAAGTTTTCCCCCAAAGGTAAGGTAAGCAATAACTCTCACAAATACTACTTTTTAAAAAAACTGTCTTGAAGTACTGCAGTAGTCCAGAATAACTAAAAGCAATTGTTCAATGAAACAAATGTGTATTGAGTGCCTATCAGATGCCAAGGCACCATACTAGGAACAAGGGTTGTATGTGCTGTGTGTACACGGTCTCATCCAACTCTCTGCGACCCCATGGTTGGGTGGGGGTATTACAACACACACAAATGAAAAGACACAATTATTTTCCTCAAGAGGCACACTCACAACAAGCACTTGAGGACGTGTGTATGTGTGCATGAGCTCATTTGTACAAAAGATGGAAGAGGTGTGGAGAGTGGACAGGGCACTAGACTGAGGACCACAGGAGAGAGATTCTTGTCTCAACTTGTCCGTAATGGGCTCAGTGATTATGAACAAAGTGCCTAAGCAAATGGAGGACCAAAGTAGTGGCCCTCCCACAGGATCACAAGACTAATTAACAGCTGACCTGGAGGAAAAATTTTGGTCTTCTGGCTCCTAGACCAGCGAACTTCCCAAAATACAATGCGTATGGCAGACAGATAAAGAAAAGTAGAGGAGAAGAAAACCCTTTGGCTTCAAGTCATCTGCAGAGAAAGGAAAGAAGGAGAATAAGGAAAGAGTGGGAGTGAAATAAAAGGTTCAAGTCGTGGTTCAAGAGATGTCAAGAAAGGAAGCACTTAAAAGTGTATGCATCATCGAAACACGTATATTTTCTAGGGTGAAACAGATCACCAGCCCAGGTTGGGTGCATGAGACAAGTGCTCGGGCCTGGTGCACTGGGAAGACCCAGAGGGATTGGGTGGAGAGGGAGGTGGGAGGGGGGACCGGGATGGGGAATACATGTAAATCCATGGCTAATTCATTTCAATGTATGACAAAAACCACTACAATGATGTAAAGTAATTAGCCTCCAACTAATAAAAATAAATGAAAAAAAAAAAGTAAAAAAAAAAAGTAATGAGCTTAAAAAAAAAAAAGTGTATGCATCAGGATAATGTAAAATCTGATTATATTCTTATTCAAATCATAGCTTAGAATTTTTTGCTCTAAAACCATCAAGGACCAAGTGTCCAAAAATGATACATGTGAATGAAGCTTGAAGAAAAATAGATAACAGAGAGGAAAGGGAGGGAGTAGTTTATAATAATATCATGCAAATATATACGAAGCCCTTCTAAAGAGACAATGTGGACCCACTGTGCTCAGATGAACAAGAAGAAATAGTACTTATTATAACATATTATTTACTCTACAGCTTTTATGTCACCAATTTCAAAAATCTTTGGGAGTCAGAAGGGTTAAAAACTGGAATGCCTGATTAAGGATAATATGTTAATAATCTGTTAATATGTTAATATTAATAATTATATTATATATAATAATATAATAATATTAATATTAATATAATTTGCTGATATGTTAATGTGTTAATAATTTCTGGAAATTATTAACATTAAAAAGGAAAGTATCCCAGGTACACACCTGAGGGAGAATAATGAAATATCACTGGGCTCCAACCAAGTTACTGCATTAGAATCACCTGTAAACCTTGAAAAATACAGAATCTCAAAATACGGAATCTCAGACCTACTGTGCCAGAATCCCTGAGTGTTGAGGCCAAGAGGCAGCCCAGGTGTTGTTGCTACAGCCAGGATGTGGAGCTTTGTTCTATCACAGTGGACCAAGTAAGGAGCGAGACCACTAGGAATGGCATCAGAGAGTGGGAACTAGATCAATGCAAATTTTGTGGGCAAAATAGAATTTCTGCGGGTGTGATATTTTTTAAATGTATTGTAAGGCTGGTCTGAAGCATCCAAGCATATCCCACTGAATTCAAACATTTTCTAAAGGTCCTAAAGTCAGTGACTACAGTTCAGGTGAACCAAAAGTTACTGTTCTAGGCTATAAGCAGCTCACAGAAGAGGCAGCAGAGTGGGAATGGCACAGAGATACCAAGAATGTGGGTAGATATTTTTTTAAAAATCAAAAACATCAGGAAAAAGAGAGACTAAAAAAAAATCACTCTCATTCTCCCTCCCCCAAAAGAAATAATAATAAAACAGAAAGAACAAGAAGAAACAATTCTAGGGTAAATTTTATCTTCATCTGAAAGAAAAAACAATTACTCTTTGTGATTTTTTTTAAAAGAAAGGGAAGAATTCAACTGAGAAATCATCTAGCAGGCAGCAAAACCAGGGAGTGACTTCCCATTGCAAAGCAAAAGAAAACAACGAGCAAGGGGTGGTCTTGGGTAGCTGTTTAGACAATCAGACAGATGGGCTGACAGCTCCTTGCTTCAGGAACTCAGTGATGTTTAAATTAACAACTGGCCACTAGCCAAATACAGGAACACTCAAAAGTTTAAAAGGGTGTATTATAATTGATACCTTGGCAAAGCACAATGATAATAAATTGAGAAGATTCAAGAAGCTTTCACTACTAGACTCTGAAAAGTTTCAAGATCAGTACCAAGAAAAGGGCTTTTTAATCACTTCTATCCCCATGTAGTTTAGCTTCTGAAGAACACCTGTCTAGAAATCAAAATATCTAAATTCTGTCTTTGAGCTAACACTAACAATCAACTTGTCCATCTGAAAGCTAGCTAGTAAGAGCAGTGCCTCATCGGGGCAGAAGTATAGGTCCTAGAATGAGAGAAGCCCTGTGTGTCAGAGTAATCCTATTCCTGACATGTCTTATCATTAAACACTTAATTTAGCAAATCACTTTGCAAACATATTTATTATTCCCTCCAACTCTCTAAAATAAGTGATTTCTGGTTCTCTTTGATAGGTGAGGAGATGACAGAACATGAAGATAATTTACTAAAACAAGCTAATGGTAGACCAAGGATTATAATGTTCAGACTAGCCCATTGTTTATACTCCTCTATCCTAAATTTACACTTTACTAAAGCTTTGGCTCAAAGAAAAAGGAAAGGCAAAAATATTATCATGTGTTTTGATTCATCATCATACAGCATCTTGGTCCACTTCTGAAATTCTTAGGGACCCGGAGGTGTATGGACTTTGAACTTTTCAAGAAAGGTTTGGTGTTGAACAATCCAGCACTGTGATAAATAACTTTGGTGTCTTTTCAACATCTGTGATTGGCATGTCAACTGCCTGTTAACAATGTACAAAGAGCAAATCTTTCTAAAGCCCAGCATCTTCATTACTTTCTCTTTGCAAAGAGTCATAGCTCAAGTTCTAGGTTTTTTGGTAAAGGTAAAACTCTTTCTTCAGATTAGGCTAGGAAAAGAAGGGGTCACTTCCAGTTCAACAAACATGCACAAGCCACCATCCCACTGGAAGCAGAGTTCACAAACACACACACACACACACACACACACACAATCCTGCCTGCAAAGGACTTTCTGAATACCTTTTGACTGCCACCAGTGTAATATACATCCTCGTAATTAATCCTTACAGTTGGGTAATTTCATTCCCATTTAATTGGTGAGTTCATACAACAGAGCTGGGTTTGAACCCAGGATTACAGCGTAGAGCTCCAAAGCCCAGGTTCTTTCCACGAAACAGTATGGAAAGAAATTTGGATCCTACGATTGTGGGTGGGATGGGTAAGATACGACTGGATTTCCTTTCCTCGATCCAACCGTGTTCTGAAAGACTGTTGCAGATATCCAACCAAAAAGAAGCTCTGGAAGGCAGCACTTTGAATTAACGTATCCACTCTTCTTCACCCACCCCTGCCCCACCCCCAACCATGCCAAAAGAAAAGCCTTAGCTGCTGCCAGGTTGGAGGAGTTGGTGATCGTCACACCACATTCCTGAGGCTGGACACAGACTGAAACTGCGCCCGAGCTCTGCGCCTCGGAAAGAATAACAGCAGTAGAGATTTTTAAATCATGTGGCTCAGCATGCCGCCACACCAGTTTTCCTACTGCTCCTGCCTCCACCTTTCAAAGACTCGAGCCAAACTTTACACATCGGATTCGTGGCGAACCGTGGAACTCAGAGCGTCAGAACTCGGGCGCGCCTCAAAAGCCCGTCCCCATCCAAACCAAACCCACCCATTCACACCGTGGGCCTTCCTTCAGCATTGCTGAGTCTGGCTGCGAAGGTGCAAGCCGCTGGGTTGGGACGCCCTGCCCCCGCTCCCTCCACGACAGAATCTGGCATTCCTGCGCTCAGCCCATCGGCGGTCCGCGGCCGGCGATGGTTGTCCCAGGCAGCCCGCCCCCGGCTCTCCCCCAACCCCAGGAAACACGAAGCCGAAGTTTCCCAAATCCCCGAACTCAAGTGCTCCAAGAAAGGGAGTTCCTGAGGCTTGCTGCCCGGCGTCCCTCCGGCCGAGGAGGCGTGTGTGGGACCCAAAGGCGGAGGGGAGCTGCAGGCGGCGAGGGGCGAGGGGGAGGGGGCGCACCCAGGGAGCAGTCCGAGGCTGTCCAAACTTTAGGAACTAAGTGGCCTCACTCCACGCCGACGGCCGAGCCCGGCCTTCTCGCGAAGTGGAGGACGGAAGGGTGGGAATGGTCGCCCCAGGTGGCCGGCCGGGCCAGAGGGGCGTGAGCCGGGGCGCCGGGGACAGCACCCTTCGGTCGGATACTCACCACGCGCCGGGGCCGCGCGGCACAGCCACAGTGCCAGCAGCGCCCACAGCGGAGAGGGGCGCAGGGCGGGCATCTTCTCGGTCGCCTCCTCCTCCGCCGCCGCCGCCTGGGCAGATCCACATGGGGAGGGGGTCCCGACAGGGGAGCCCCCGCTTTCTCCTCCCTTCCTCCTACTTCCGCGGCTCACGGCCTCGCGCGGCGCCCCAAAGCTCAGGCTTCAGTGTCTCCACTCCCTGCACCCCGAGTCCGCCGTTCCTGGGCCGCCGCCACAGCCGCCGCCCGAAGTTTGGCTGAAACTTTCTCGGGTGTGCAGCGAAGCAGCCTCGTGTGTCCTTCCGCCTCGGCCGCCTCCTCCCACCGCAAACCCCGCCCCGCTGTCGCCGCGGCCAGGCCCCGCCGCCTTCGGCACCCAGGGGTTTCCCGCAGGAAGAAGCGCCGGCCCGGGCTGCGCGCGGAGGGATCTACTATGAGTCCTCAGACACCCCTCCAGCCTTGCCAACCCGCGTCGAGTCCGGACGCGCCTTAACTTACTCGGCGCTGGAGAGTCTCCCCGGGCCGGGCCTCTGCCGGGGGTGGTGTTAGGGCTCTGAACTTGAATCTCTAGGGTAGTGAACTTTCCGGGAGAGACAGACATCATCCAGCGAGATGGGTATCGCCCACATACAACCGTACATCCACACACTCCCCGGCTAGCTGGAGGAATGCGACAGTGAAGGACCAGTGCTGTCAAAGAAAGCTATGGGAGCAAAAGCGCCAAAGTCCATTTAAAATGAACAGAGTCATCGAATGGGTTGTGTTGCACCCTTCATTCCTTCAGTCAGTCATTCATTTAGCAAACATTTCTTAAGCGCCTTTTTTCGTGTAGCAGTGTGCCTAGTACAGTGGACTGATACTAAAGACACATGATGCACAAGCTAGTTTTGAGGACCGAGACTTTGCTGCTTCTTTCATAGAGGAGCTGGGATGAAAGCAGAATCTTAAAAAGTTAGTAAAATTTGCATAGGATAAGGAGATCAGCTAAGGATATCCCATTGTAAGATGATAATATCTGAAACTTGGAAACAAACTAAATGCCCACCCATGAAGAAATGCATGAATAATGCATGGTATATTTTAAAAATGAAATGCAATACAACAATTGAAAAGACTATATTCATATATAGAGATAAATATGAGGTTTATCTAGAGAGATAGAGATAAATTGTGAAGTGATAGTTTAAAAAAGCTAACTGCAGAAAGAGATATAAAGAAAAACTATATTATTTATGGATGCATACCACACAGTATATAGTAAAAGAGAATAACCAAAATAATGCTTACTTTCATGACAGGAAAGTGGGGGATGTGATCAGGTATGGGTACAAGTGGACTTGTTATTGTAAGAAAAGAACTGAAATAAACAAAAAGTTTGTGTGAGCATAGCATTCCAGGGGAGAGCCATCATGAAAGCAAATAAGAGAATCAGTAGATGAGTCTGGCATTATTAGCAATGACCAGAGTCAAGGAGAGGAGGTTGGGACCAGATTATGCAGGTCCCTGACTGACAAGTGGGGGATGGAGGGTACGGTTATCTCTCAGGTCAGAGAAAACCACTGAAGGTTTTTGAACAGGAGTGAGACTTGAAGGAAAGAAAGGTGGCTTGATAATCCTGTGCAAAATTGACTGTCAGGAGCAAAAGGTGAACTGGCCCAAGGACCAGTCAGGAGCTTGTGAAACAGTCCAGGCACAGGGCGATGAAGGCCTGCAGTAAGGTAAATGCCAGAATGGAAAAGAAGGGGGAAAAATGGCGGGGGTGGGGGGAGGCAAACCTCTATTACTAATTGGATGTGGGAGTTTATATCCTGTTGGGAAGGGGAATCTTACCCACAGAGCCTCTCCCTGGCTCCTATAGGGAGCCAGACTTCTAAAAATGGTAAATATAAGGCCCTTACTTGACTGGTCTCCAAATCTTGTTCTCCCAGCCCCACTGTGAACTTTACACATTAACAGTATTGAATGACTTGAGATTCCCCCAAACATAACTTCTTCTTTCAGTCTCTGCACCTTCTGTCCCCAGATTTGGAATGACTCTTGTAGCCCCCATCCCTCTTCCTCTTGGTGAACTTCTAATCATTCATCCTTCAGTCCTAAGAAGGATCTCCAGACACTGTAATGAATTTGTACCCCGAAGACAGTCCCTCCACTGCACTACTTCTTTATCTTCCACTGTTATCTATTTTTTCACACAAGATCATTTGTATTTCTATCTTCTCAACCAGATCGGGACGTTCTTATGGGCAAGGACCATGGCCTTATTCATTCCCAGTATCTATCACATGCAACCCCATGAACTGTATCCCACCAGGCTCCTCTGTCCATGAAATCCTGCAGGCAAGAACACTGGAGTGGATAGCCATTCCCTTCTCCAGGGGGTCTTCCCAACCCAGGGATCTAACCCTGGTCTCCTGCACTGCAGGCATATTCTTTACTGTCTGAAGCATCAGGGAAGCCCCACATAAGAACTAGAATGTACAATAAAACAATGCCAAACAAGTGTAAGTCAGTGTAATCACAGGTCTGTGAAGTTCCAAACTGGACTTTAATAAGCACTTTATAAAAGAGAAGTGAGTGCTATTATTGAAAGCAGGCAGCTTGAGATGCTAGAAACTCTTTTCAAAAATAACATAATTAGTCAAAATAGTTTTGGAACTTCCCTTTTACAAATGTGTTCAGAAAGAGTCGATAACATTACTTTTTAGCTGTTGACCTGTGGGGTTACCAGCTTGAACATTTGTCTTACTCACTAAATACCATTCCTAATGACTTGGCTGTATACAAATTTTCAAAAGCACCTGCAAAGATTAGATTTGTTACTATTAAAATATACCCAGAAGAATGTAAAATAATCACCTCCAAAGGGCAGCTCCAGAAATGACTGTGGCTATGACAACATTATTAAAATAGATATGTGATTTCTCAATGTGACTGTTGTAAGGAAAGCAATTATTTTGTTCACATATAAATTTTGTTGGATTTTTTATTGTATTAAACTTATTGCATAGGACCCCATAAGGGCAAAAGTAATACAGAGTAAGTGTTCTGAATGGAAGTTGAAGGCTATGACTGAAGAGGTATTTGAAAGGATGTGTTTTGAAAAAAGCTATGAATATATATTGGTAAAAATGAAACAAAAAGGGAGCTGAAAAATCAAGGGAAGAAACTGGAATCAGCAAAGACTTGGAGATGAGAGCAAGTAAGTTTAACCCATCAACTGACATTTTGGTGAATATTTACCATGGTCCAAATCTTATATGAGGAGTTGAGGGATAAAGAAAGAGAGACAAGTATTAATAACTGACAATATCCAGTGTGACAAGTGGAATGTTGTAGGTTCACAGCTGAGGGAGTATGTGTCATGTCCCAGAACAGGGGTGGTCAGGGAAAGATTCCTGGCAGACCTCAATAGCTGGACTAAGAACTGGAGGACCAGAAGATGCATGAGGTGAAGAAGAGACAAGTTCTCATGGTTGGAGGTCTAATCTATATCAAGCACAGGGAATAAGCACAGAGACAGGTGGCCAACAGAGCTGAGAGATTATTCCCTACAGATAAGAACTTAAGACAGGGACTCCAGATGTACAGAAAAGCCCAGCATTGACTTCTAAGACCAGTAACTGCTTATGTGGGAGAGGAAGGGTAGACCAAGGAATCAGCAGTGACCTCAGTGTCTTGAAGTATACTGAGCTATTCCCAGATATAGGAATGACAAGAGAAGGAAAAGGAGGTTTGGTGGAGTAGATAAGTAGGCAAAAGAGCAATGTAGCTGAAGTGAGAAAACTGTTCAGCAGAGTAGCAGCCATGGCTGTTGACTGCTTTAAGGAGAGCTGGGAGGAGCCTGACTGATTCCCAGAAAGGAACTGCGCTGAAATATGCTTTCTGCTACTGGCCTCTCCCCAGAGCTAAACCTAAATTCCACTGTGTGCATTTAGACGATCCATATCAGAAGCCAGGGGTCTTGTGGTGGTGTCTCCAAACACCACCATCTTGAGGTGCATCTGAGGACCTAAGATGCCAGGATCTACCTGGTGATGTCAACCCAAAATGTATTCAGCAGTTTAATTACTCAACTAGATTGGGGAATGGCCTTCCCCCAAGGACAATGCTTCTAGTCAAAGCAAATTCTACTGTATAGGAGGAACTGGCAGGAAAATATTCAGGCGATCCTGTAACTAAACAGAGTTACTGCCGTTTCTTAAATTTCTATAACTTGACTGATAGATAGGAAAATGAGATCCCACAAACTTTCATCTGGGGAAAAAACTCAGTCTCCAAGACCAAACTGAAATCTACAGACCATCAGCAGTAGAAAAACATGAATAAAAGCCACCACTAGTTTTGGTTTTGCCAAAACTGAAAATATACATATATGTCTTTACTAATTATAACTCACACATAAAATTGCCTCTCAAGACAAATGCAGAATTAGGCACTTGTTCTCAATTTATTCTCTCATATTCAATAAGCTGAAAAAAACCTCAATGGCAGAGATCCTGTATTATTTGTCTATTTTGCCCCAGTTTGTAGTATAGTAGTTATTGCACATAAGTGCTCAACAATACATGTTTTAAATAAATGTTTAATGAAAAGTATATGTGTATGTATATATATATGTGTGTGTGTGTGTATACATATATATATATATATATATATATATATATATATATATATATGAACTGGGGAGAGGTACAATGTTGACAGAAAGCTTAGGTGTTTTGGACAATCCAGGGCTGAACTGACTAAACACTATCCATGTTGAAGAAGAGATTCTGTAGTACATATCAGGCATAGGTTGATATATCAATCTACTTCATAGCTTGACATATCAAGCTACTCTATACATCTCACCATACAACCCAGGAACCCAGGAATGTGTAATGAAATGTTTGTGGAAGCAGGGATTAAAAGGAAGATTTCTTTGAAAAATAATGCCTTGCATTCGTGCAGAGCTTTAGGCTTTCCAAAACACTTTTAAGTGTATTATCTCATTTGATCCTCAAAGCAGTCGTGGGAAATAGCCAAGCCAGTCATTATTAT